GGGATGCGGGGGGGGGGAAGAAGAAAAGATGGGGGCAGGGAAAAAAAATCAGCTACAACCTGAAAAACTGAAGTTGGAGGAAGTAAACCTCCCTCCCAAAATCATGAGGGCTTGCCCTGACCCCGGGAAGGGCAGCTCTCCAGTTTACAATAGACCGTGTTGGAGTTCTTGCACCGGCACCCCGGACGATTGACGCGGTCATAGCACCCCCGGCAGAGTTTTAGGCATCCTTTGGCCGGAGGGTAGCAGAGCAAGCAAGGCAGGAACAAGGACATGGCTCCCATGCACAGGTACCTAGAACAGCAGTGTGACTGGGAGCAGGAGCAGGGATTATCCGCGTACGAGTCCCCTTCATCATCGTTGGAACAGTGGTAGAAGATCCCTTTGACCAGGCACATGCAGGTGCCGTACTCCACCATGCTCTCTGCCGAGCACAGGCACTGCCGGTTGCAGGCCAGGCAGGAGGGCAGGGCCCGCGGCGCCGTGCACTCCCCACACTTGCACTTCCCGCACTGCTCGCAGATGAACTTGTGCTGCGTCAAGTCCTCTTTCAAAGGCCCCTTCAGATCGTCCACGATCAGCGCCGACTGCTTGGGCTGCGCCCGGATTGTCCGGTCGGATCTGTGGCCGGAGCCCGGCCGGGAGGGCGGCGAGCGCCCCAGCAGCCCTTGCTCCGAGGAGGCGCTGCTGTTGCTGCCGGAGCTGGCCGCGCTGCCCGTGCTGGTGGAGCGGCTCAGGACGGGAGCCCTGGCGTTGGGCTGATGGGCCACATGCCCCGCGTGGCCGGGCCTGTGCTCGTAGTTATTATTCACATTAATCGGTATAATCTCGTGAGTCCTCTCATGCTTCTCCTGCCTCGGCGCCGTCCGCGGACCCGACTTTTTCACCACCGACGGCCCCTCGGTGTATTCGTTGCTGCCCCTGATGGCCTTGATCTGGTCCAGTGACAAGATGGTCGTGGGCTGGCTGTCCCTGTCATAGTCCAAGCGCTGCCGGCTGTCCAGGGAGGGCTGCTGAATCACCACCAGGGAGCCGCCGCTGCCATGCTGACTTTGGGGCTCCATCTGTAGTGATCTCTTCTGCTGGCATTCAGCAGGAACCTGGCATGCATCTGAAATCCTGAAACAAGGAAGGAGACAGAAGGTGTAAATAAACACTGCCTGTGTACATATACACACACGAGATCAAGGGCAGCGGAGGGATAAAGCACCGGATACTTTCTGAAAACAGAAATGATCTGGCAAAGCCCAAACTGCCCCAGCCACCTGGTACTGATCACTTTCAGCAGGGGATTACAGCAGTGCTGAGGATCTGGCCAAAGTCCAGTAATGGGGAGAGTCTGGGTATGGCATCATGGATGAGGAATGCAAAGGAGACCCCATGCCATTAAAATTTTTTTTTTAAAAAATAAAAATCCAGTATTAACTTGTACACTTTCTTGGCAAGCCACGGGAAGTGCCTCTCCCTTGCTACTGAACTCAACATCTGTCTCTAGCAACAGCAATTCCAAATGCCCCCGACACTGAGCTGGAAACAGCCAAGAACACCACTACATTCATGTTTCGTATGGCAGAGTGAGGAACGAGCCCAGTTCTCACTCCTCTGCCTGAATCTGCAGCATCAGAAAGCTCCACAGATTTGCTTCCTAGTGCATTTGGAAAGTCTCCCTCTTAAAGTGACGTATGTGCATTACAGAGTCCTGAACTAAGTGCTGTCAAGTGGCCAAGACATTTTCTGTGAGAAAGTAACTCAGCCTACACATCTAATATGCTCCTTTATAAAATTAAAGCAAGGGTGCAAACAACCTGTTTTCAAATATTTGCTGACCACAGGCCAGAGTGAGAAAGAAAAATGGGGTAGAAAAGGCTTAGATGAACTAGGTGTCAAACAGAAAGTACCTGAGCATTCAGGAGAATGTTAAGAGCAGATAAAAACTCCTCAACAAGAACCTCAAAACACAAACAGAGAACAAATCCATTTTCACAAGACAGATTAAAAGCTTCTCAAATAAACAGAACATCTGCTCATCTATCTTTTAAATAGTAGGAGAACAGTAGAGATGTTACACATTTCCATCCCTTTCCACCCTGCCTAGCTAGAGACATGAGGTTGCAACACTGAGAAAACTGCAGTGACAGTTCTGCACCTACACAAAAATGTAGCTGAGTATCTAAGTGCCACATTTATGCAGGGAACCAAGACAACAAACTGCTTTTCTTTACTGTCAGCCAGAGGAAAAGTCCCTTTTCACTCCCCCCCGGGATGCCATAAGTGCTCACCTGAAAGCAAAGAAAGCTAAGTGCTATCAAGCATTTCAAAAACTCATCCAATAATGCTATGAGTGTGTCTTGTGTACCCAGACCACAGCCAGCATGGAGCTGTTCCCCACTCCAGAGAGTAAAAGGCACCGTGGCGTGGAAACACAGCAAGAACAAGAAGAGGAAATGTTTCTTCTAGCAGGCAGTCACTATGGGCAGAAAGTGACAGCTTCTGCTGTGACACAAAATCTTTGTCCTCATCCAGTAGTCAAAGATTTCATTTTACATCTAACATCACCTGTGTGGGCTTTGTGGTCACCAGATTAAACAGAAAACCAAACACTCTCATTTCTAATTTACAGAACAGAATCACAGAATGGCTTGGTTGGAAGGGACCTAAAAGACTCTGCAGTCCCAAAGCACCTGGCCATGGGCAGGGACACCTTCCACTAGACCAGGTGGCTCAGAGCTCCATCCGACCTGGCCGGACACTTCCAGGGATGGGGCATTCACAGCTTTTTCCTGTGCCAGTGCCTCACCACCCTCCAGCAAAGAATTTCTTCCTACCCCACACAAGAAGCAGCCTTCTCCACAAGCACTGAATACAAATCCACAACAGACCAAGGGTGAATGAACGCGAAAAGGGAAAGATTTACAGCTGTACCAGCCAGGAGCGGGGCTCCCTAGGGGATGAAAAACAATATCCCAAGAAAATGCAAAAGACATCCAGTGCCATCTTTGGGGGGAAAGTGCAACATCAACGCGGCGCAGACTGACAAGCCCAGCTGCAGACCGGGGCGAGAGTTGAAACAGCCACCTCCACCCCCGCGCAGATCGCTCGTAAACTGCTCTCCCCGCGGACAATGAAATAAAAATGAGTAAAACAAAATAATAAAATAACGTACGGCGCAGGCGGCGAGAGCCCTCACGGTTCTGCACCCGGGGCTGCGCTCCTTCCCCGCACCTCGGGGGTGGGATTCCGCTTCCCTCCCCTTCTCCACACCCGCTCGGACACGCCGCCAGCCCCCCCCGTCCCGCCCTGCTCCGCCCCGCTCCCCGCAACCCCGGGCGGGCGGCGGCGGCGCGGCGCCCTCTGCGCCCCGAGCAGAGCGGAGCGGATCACGGCGCTGACGGAGAGGAAGGAAGAGGAGGGGAAAAGGGGAAGAAAAAAAAGTTATGAATGAAAACACAGGCTTTTTTTTTCCCTCCCTTTCCTTTGCCTCCTTGCCTCTCTTCCTCAGGGGAAGGCAGATCTTAGCCCGGCGCTGCCTCGGGAGGGCGGATTACCTGGCGCTTAAAGCGGCCGCTCAGCCCCGGCGTTTCCCCGCGCTGCGGCTCGGCACCCCCCGCCTCAGCCCCTCCGGCCCCCACCTGTGAGGAGCCTTTGGGGCGTGTTTTTGACGTTCTGCTCGTTCGCAGCCGGCCACGGTCCCCAGCAAGCCGTTCCGCAGCAGCCCGGTGCCTCTATTCCGGAAGGGGCACGGTGGGAGGGTGGTCGGGCCGCCCCTCACCGGGCGGGCGCCGCAGCGCCCCGCGGCACCTGCTCGCTGCGGCACCGCCGGCCCCGCTGTGAGCGCACGGCGGGTCCCAACTTACTGATGTGCAAGGAGCCACGGGGAACGGCAAATCCAGCGGGCGGGGGGCGGCGGGGCCTCGGCTCCTCACTCTCCCGGCCCCCGGGGCGGGGAAGGCCGGCGGGCTGCGCTCCTCGTCCCCGCACAGCCCTCGCTCGCCGATCTCCACGTCCTACTGGGCCAGCGGAGAAAAGCCCCGCTCTCCTGCCCACCGCAGCTCCCGTCTCCCGGGGGTCAGCATGCAGCGGCCCCGGCCGCCCGTGGAAGCGGCGCTCTCCTTCGGCCGCAGCGCTCTCTGTCCGGAGGCGACGGGGAGCAAATCCAGCCCTTCCTGCAAAGCGGAGTGTCTGGATCGAGCCCCAGGCGGCTGCAGGCTGCGGCAGGCAGCGGGGCTTGTTGCGATGCAGGTCTCCGGGAAGAGGCGGCGGGTGCGCGGCTCCTGCTCCGGCTGTTTGTTATTTCCCTTTGCGATCGCAGAGTGCAGGGCTGCGGTCCCGCTCGGCTTCACCGCATGGTCCTTGCCGCAAGTCCCGTCTGGCAAAGTGCAACCACAACCTCTGGTGCGAAAGATTTGGTTGGGTTTTTTCTTTTTCGTTTTGGTTTTTTATTTTCTTTTTAAAACGATCAAGAAGCGGCTCTGGCTCTCCAGGCAGAGCTCAGCGAACTGCGAACGAAGCCAGAGGCAGCGCAATGCAATGGCCCTGCGAGCTCCCCGCACACAGCCATGTGCTGGCTGTCGCTGCCGGGGACCGAGTGACAGGCTGGGGGCAGGGGCAGGACGCGGCGGGGAGAGGCGACCCCGCACGCCGCAGTCTGGCACCGAGGTCTCCGCAGGCTCGAGGGTCGCGCAAAGCTCCGACGCGCCGGAGACCCCGCGTCGGGCGGGACGGGCGAGTACCGACCCGGAGCTTCTCTGCGAGCAGCGAATCGCGCCCAGCTCAGCGCTGCCGGCCCGGGGAGCCGAGCCCCGGCTCTCCCGCCCGGTGCCCCGCGGAGCAGCGAGCGCGGCTCGCCCGCACCTCCCGCACGCCTCGCAGCGCGGCTGACAGCTTCTCGCCCGCCTCCCGCGGCACATTGGCGGCGCGGATCCAGCCCGGGCAGTGCCGGCAGCCGCTCCGCGCTGCCCCGCCGCCGTTCCAGAGTGACTCGGGCCGCGCCTCGCCGCCTTTCAGCGCGCAGCCCCCGCCCGCCGCCGGCCGCGCCCCCCTGATGTCAGTGTGCCTCCGAAATCCCGGCGTGGATTCCCCGCCCTCCCGCCGGGAGCCGCTCCCGCGCGGGCTCCGCCGCTCCCGCGGGCCGCCAGGGAAGGAAGGAGGGAGGGAATGCAGGAGGGAGGACCTGCCCTTCTCCGGCCCCGGCCCCGCGCTGTCCCGCGGCCGCGGCTCCTGCCGGCCTCGGGGCCCCGCCGGCAGAGGGAGCGCCCCGGGGGCTCGGCCCGGCGGAGCTCGGAGCTGCCCGGTCCGCACACGCTGCCCCCGCCTGCGCTCGGCCGGGCGGGCAGAGCTCCTGGAGCTGCCGCGGCACCGCCGGGCACTGGGCTCTGCTGAAGGGCTGAAGTTCTGCCACGCTGCTCTGACAGCGTTACGGAGAGATTCTTGTATGTGTTTTACCGTCAGCGCCCTTCCAGCCAGGTGGAACAGCCCTTGTTTATAGTCACAAGATATTTTCTGTTTCTTTCAGACTGTTGCAGAGCCAGCTGAGGACCCGAGAAGAGCATTCCCTCTTGTCATCCTGCCATGAGATAGGAAGTGGCTCTTCCCACCGTTTTATTGCTGACACTGCAGCACCAGAGATGATACGGGTTATCCACCCGGCTGTCTCTCTCTCTCTCTCCCTCCTTTCCAGCCCTGCCTCGGCAACGTCCCGTCCAAAGCTCACCACTGCATCTCTGCCATGGTGCCTAAGAGATACAGGAGTGCTTTCCAAGCCAGTAGTTTTATGGCCAGATATTACCTTTTACATAAGATTTTTGGGGTTTGGTTTGTCTCAGTGAGTGGAGTATTTAAACAGGCCACCAAAATAACATGGGAGAGTGATGTAAAACACATCCAAATTCTGAAAATTATTTCATAAGAGCATGTAAATTATTGGAATAGTTGAGACTTCCAGTACTTGGCTAAACACCACTCAGCCTTAAGTTTTATCTGAAACATACTAACAATCTCTTTCACAAAAAAAACCTTCTCCCACCTTTTGCTACAAAGAAAAAAAGTATGTGCTAAGGATATGTGGAGCTGCTTAGCAGGAACATACATCCAAAAGCAAACAATCCCTACAAACAGGACTGTACCACAAAGGTAATACTCAGTGACAGTCTGTGCACCCAGCTCACACTTGTGGATGCAGCACAGTTGTTTTCCATCAAAATTCACAAAGCTTGGAAAGAAATCACCTAAACTGCATTTTTGAAATTTCCATCATTATGCACAACCTTCACATGAACCATCTATTTCTCTATGAAATAAAAATTGTATGCATTATAGGTTCTATGTTGGATACTAGGATATAGTACTAGTGGTAGTGTGACTGCTAATACGTCTGAGTTTGTAATTAACAGACTGCTGATACAGACAAATCATAAATACCATTCTCCAATGACAGAGGCTCAAAGGACAAACTATGGCATAAAAATCCTTGGTGGGGAATAAAAGTATTCCAAATCAGCATTAATATTGCTGTGGGATTTAGAAAGTGTGATTGTTCACCAAAAGCATTCTCAGGTACACCTTGAGCACAAAGTACAAAACCACTTTCAGTGAAATCCATCTGAAAACTTTGGAACCTATGAAGAGTTACAAAAACCTATGAAGAGAAAAAAAATCCAACTGAAGAACCAAAATGACTAAGGAAATTTTATAAAACCATTAGTCCTGCAGAGCAGTCTTAGTGGTGCAAGTTCATCTTGGAGCCTTTGGAGGTAGCAGGGCTCTGTTCTCACAGAAGTCCATATGCATTTTTCTTAGGACATGACCACAAAAACACCCCAACGCCTCTCCTTTCACATCTCTAAAGCCAGTACCACCTTAAAAAACCTATGCCAAGTGTAAGAGCTTGATTTTAGAAACATAATACCAGGCTTAAATGGGTCAGTCAAACAACCAACAGTTCTGGCAGGTGTTCACTATCACCTGGCACCTGAATTAGTACTTCACTGAAAGAAGGGAAAACCCTCCAGCAATATCCAAAGGCTCTCCACAGGCTCAAGCAAACATTCCTGCACCTCACAGAGATTCATCTCACTAGATTATTCCTGGAAATTATAGCAGTGAGAAGTTCTGATTAGAAAAAGGAGAGCTACATCCTGGAGAATGAACTGGCACCTATGGCTACATCCTGGCATGGCCTTGATTTGAGGATTGATGCACAGGCAGGAATCTGATGCAACCAAGTTATTTTCTATCTCCAAACCATCATCCAGAGGTGGCTCAGCTGCCATCAAGTCAACAGAGACCAGCCCTCTATGCCTGAAGTAAATCCTTCAGAAAAACCTGCCAGAATGGGGTTCCAGAGACTGAATGATGGCCAAGAGCAGTGATCCAATCCCTGTTTCCAGTTTCACTTTGAGGATCAGGTACTGGAGATAATCCCCACCTTTTGCAGTCAGATGCTACTTCTCCCTCACAGCAGCCTGAGTGCCAGAAGGTGCATTGGACAGAACAAAAGCACAATCCATCCTTAGCTTTTTGTTTGGTTTTCTTCTAATCCACACCCAGAAGCAACTTTTATCTTTAGGTGACTTAAGTGACCTTTGTAAAGATGCACTGGATAAACTGTGATCCTCCCACTATCAGTAACAACTATTTCCATGGTGCATCCCACCTGGGAATATTATTCTGTGTCTCCCTAAACAACATCTCTTAGCCTTGCTAAGGCACAAATCCCAATCCAGAAAGAAGACACATGCTCAGGCCCAGCCACAAAGCCAACATGGCTTTGAGGAGACTCAGCAGGGGAAGTGTTTCCCTTTATGTCGCTTCATAACCAATCCTCACAGCTGCAACAACATTTCTAAGGTTACAGAGGAATTCAAAAGGCAATTAGCATTATAACAAAATTATGAACCAAATTGTTGTGCCAGTCTTACCTGTAGCATGTGTAGGTCAGGTACTTCCCTCACCAGTGATGATCTTGCAGAGGTGGCATCAGGAGAACCGACTGGAACCTGCAGCTCCCCAAAGCTTTGTGTGTCAGCAACTTTGAGTGTGTGTCAGGTGGAACTTTGTAGTCGTCAGTGCTTGAACAGTCTCAGAAACTCAGTGCTTGTTGGGACAAGACCAGAAGACCAGCATAACTAATTTTTTAACACTCCACTAGGCCTATATATACTACAAGGCAAGAGGAAATGGCCTCAAGCTGGGCCAGAGGAGATTTAGACTGGGGATCAGGAAAAATTTCTTCACTGAAGGCACTGGAACAGGCTGCCCAGGGAGCTGGCTGAGTCACCAGCCCTGGAGGGATTTAAAGGCTGTGTAGATGTGGTGCTTAGGGACTGGTCTAATGGTGACTTGGCAATGCTGGGTTGATGGCTGGACTTAATGCCCTTAAAGTTTTTTTTCCAACCTAAATGATTCATTTATTTAAAAACTCTCCAACAAACCAACAAAAGCTATGGAACACTACTGTAATAAAAAGTGCTGTGGGCAGTTTCTCAGCAGCTCCCATGAAATCCTGCTGGCCCTGGCTTAAGCTGGTGCATGACATGAACAAAGCTGCTCCCAAGAGCCAAGCACCAGCGGTGCCATGGTGAAGGCATACCTGACATGTACAGTGAATCACTTCAGTGTAAGGAAGAGAAAGCGAAGGCTGATGTGGTAGCGTTTCCCACCACACTTTCTACCAGACAGGTTGACCTTTACCGGAGATCAAAGACACGGCTGCTGGGGATTTCTTCAGCTCCTGTGCAGGGGCTGTTCTCAAAGCTCTCTGAAGGCGCAGCCCGTGCGCCACTGCCTCTTGCCGTCACTGCTCGGGCTGGGGAAAGGCACACAGGAAATCCTCAGTTACGAATAGAACCTGTAGTTTTCACTTCAGGAGATAACATCAGTTTTTCTTAGAGGCAGAGGAGACAGTAAAAGGCAGCAGCCAGGCAAACCTCCAAGAACAAAGGGACGAACCTCGACGTGAACCTGCCTCATGAACATTTGAATGTGGAATCAAAGCACCGGGGAAACGCTGCAGAGAGAGGGGTTTAGTCTGTGCCTAAATTAAACAGGAAGAAAATGCCAAGGTCTGTAAAATAGGCTGAGAGTATGAGAAAATACTTTCCCTTCCCCATCTCCTGCATTGTATCAAAGAAACCAGTATTTTCCTTGGGTAACCAGGGGGAAAACTTCACTCTCCTAAGGGTAGGCCACAGCAAGTCTCTTCATTTTCCACCACTCCTTTGACATGCAGGCAACTCTCCTTCAGGTACCCATAGTTACTGTTTTCTGATCAAGTTTAATCTTCCTTGGAGAACTGCCTCTGTAGCCTTCATGTGTAGCTGCTACACGGGTTGCCTGCATGTGCACAAGATATTCTAAGTTACTGACCATATCTTCCTTACTTTGTATTGACTGTTAACTATTTTAGCTAATATGACTTCACCTGTATAAACAGATTTGTGAAAAAGTACAATTGTCATTATTATTGAATACCAATAATAACTTACTCTCATCTACCATAAATTATCTGCAAGTCCTTGTCTCCTGTCCTAGTGCTGAGCAAAATGCCTTTTCCATTCCACTGAGACCCAATTCCTTGCACAGATACAAACCTTTCCCATTTCTGCTGGAGAAGTGGCCGCTCCCCAGGAGTGGGGCTGCTTTACTGGGGGAAGAGGAAAAGCTCTCTGCTAATTTGAATACATGGCTCTGTGCATGTTTTTATTATCTAAGCACTTGTGGCGACTTGGGTGTTAGCACAGCTCCAGGAATGCCTCCTGTTTATCAGGTTGTGCAATCCGTCACTGTCAGCTGAAGGAGGTCTCAGGAGCAGCGTTTCTAATTTGATTTGAAAATATACATGGAAACCTGAGCCTGCTTTTAGCAAGAATGATGGGGTTGGCCTAATGAACACAATCTCTCTTGTCGCTCTCGAGAACAGTGTGTCAACAACCAAAGTTTAGGTTCCCTCCGTGGCTGCAGCAGCTTCTGTGGGGAAGCAGGAGCCTCACATCTGTGTCGTGTTCTTGGTTCTGCTTTACCATTGAAAGGCATTTCAGTGAGCTTTTAACAGGCAAATGCAAACAGGGAGGAAGTTCTTCCATGGATCTCTTGAAGAGAAGTTTGCAACAGGCAAATTTTTTCTCTGAGCCTTCATACACTTGTGTGGTACCAAATGGTGCTAAAGAAAGTGCATATCTAGAGAGCCAGTTCTCAGATAGCTCAGAAGCTGTCACTGCTTTCCCACCAGCTACAGGAATAGGAATATGTCACAGGAGCCACACAGATTTCTGGCCACAGCAGCAGCCACTTCAATATTTACAGATTTTAACTTCTCAGGGAAAAAAAAAACCAAATAGCTCCACACCTTTCTTTTAGTCTTCTATTGCTGAAAAGATAAATCTCTTGACACAAATCTGCAAGACTACAGTGATGTCACTTTGCCACATCCCAACAAGAGAGTGATAAAATATAATGGGCTATTAATCTCTATTTTTTCATCCTTTTACCATTTTCTGGGTCTTACTTCTCTGGCAGATTCTGCACTTGGCAATTCAAGTATAAAGTGCCAAGACACCCCCTGCATGTTTGATGTGGTTTGTTGTACTCTAGAAGAGCTTGCCAGGCACATCTTGGAATTTTGCTCCGTAGTAACAATGACTTGCTAAGGAATATTCAGTGTCAAGGGCCAGATTCTGTTCCTAGGGAAATCAAAGTTAACCTTGGTTCCCTTTGAGATTGAGTAAGTCAGGAGACTTTGGTATTTTGGAGACAGCGTAAAAAATAATATCCATCAAGAGCCTATGGGTTGAAAAGGTCAGATTTCTTCCACCAAAAAGGACTGGGAAAACCCTTGACAGTGAAGAACAGAAACTACACATGCCCCTGCACATACTGTCACGTTGCTGATGAAAACCCCCCTCATTCCCATCGGGGTGGGAGACAGGCTGCTCTAGTTCCACACAAGCCATGGAGAAAGCTTGCACTGCCTCTCCTGCTGGCTCCCACCCAGGAGGACATGTACAGACACACACTTAACACAGGGAGGCTGTGACACCAGAAACTCTGTGTTTGTGTGTGTTGGGGGGGTGGTCCCTCTTTTAGATTCCCTCCATGACTCTTTATTTTGAAACCACTTCTGGGATTCTTTCCTGAGAAAGATTCTTTCCCTGATCTATTAAGATGCCAGAGAATTTCCATCTACAAAGATCACATCTACTACTGAAACATACCCTGTTTAAAGTATCTCAAAGCCTAGTCAGGATCTGTCTCTATTGCATCCCAAGTTCAGTAGTTTTGAAATTTATGCAGAAAATGGAATTTCTCCTAAATTAGCCTGCCCACTAGCCTTCCAAAACACTGCAGTGATGCTGCTGCAAGGTGACATTTCTTGGAGCAGCACTGTAATACCAAAGCATTCCCAAGGGAGGGATTGCACTGTTGCCTACAGCAATCTTTCCATAGATTTTCAGTAGTATAATCCAGCCTAAAAGAAGCATCTGAATAAAGAGAAGAATGACAAGTGTGCCCAGTTGAAAAATAGAAAACACACATTTTATATTAGCTTGGAACAGTGGACATCATTGCCTGGCTGAACTCAGTGTTTGTAGCAATCCCCTGTTTATTAAACAAAAGAAAAAAAATTCCTGATGACAATTCCTTAGTGGGCTCTAGTCTTTTCTACATGGAAGGGCAGATAGAGACCTCAGAGTATTCCAGAAAGGTCATCTTCAGCACTAGCAGATATTAAGGTCAACTGCTCAGCTATTATTTATGTCCATACCTCTCAGAGTAGTGAAATAGCTGTCACCACCTGGCTGGATTTCAGCTCTGCAGAGGGCAGTTATCAAAACCTAAACATCAATCTGTTAGAACTTCTATACCACTCTGTTCTCATAGCACACCAACACGACTTTTCTAATTCTCCTCCACGTGTCCCACTTCCAGAAAATTTAAACCTTTATGCACCTAAGATCAGTATTCAATATATTTTACCATATTCTTTGAGTCTTTGCTGCAGGTATTGTATAGGGGGGAAAACAAACAAACCAACACCATACCTTTCTTTTACCCTTTTATGGTTGAAAAGACATGGAAAAGATCTCTCACCACAAGCCTACAAGAGCACAGCAGCTCAGCAGTAGCACTACTCACATTTCATCACACACCAACAGTGTGAAACATGGGAAGCAAATGGAAAACAACATTTTTGGAGCTGGACTGATGTCAAGAATTACCTTTCAAAACCATCTGCTGGTTTTTAAAAAACTTGCCACATGAAAAAAACAACAACTTTGAGTCAATTACAAACACTCCTGTAGATTTATTAGCTCCTCCAAACTTAAATTTTCCAGAGTGCCAATTGCTATAAAGTGAAAGTGCTCAGCACTTCTTAGGAAGACACAGAAAGATCATTTGCTCAGAGCTCTTTCTAAGGGAGGAAGGGACAATTCCTGCTGTCAGACCTCTGTAGGCAAAGAAAAGAGAGACTGAAATGGAGGATCATGTCAGGAAAACCAAGTTGAGATGCTGAAAACTTCCAGGGCACACATTTTCTAAATCACATCCCTCTTTCCACATGCTGTTAGGTATTAGGATGCCTATATATATATCCTAGTTTGTGTTTATAAAGATTCAAAGTTAATGTGAGAGATGTAGTAAATGTGGAATTATTCCCTGTTTGCTCCTTGAGGAACAGCTAAACCAGCCCTACTGTTCCTATTAAAGGTAGCTTAGACAGGAGACAGTTGGTCCATCAGCTCTTTTTTAAACTTAGGTTTCAGACTAAAATTTAAAAAGACTGAAAAAGATATTTTCTCAGTGTACTTCATTATAGGATAGCTCAGCCAAAGCCCACAAATGTAACTGCATTACTTGTTTGTTTGAGGAAACTTGCCATGTTCCAAATCACCTCCACATCATCAATATTTTCAGCGCCAGCAGCTGCTCTGCTGAATTGTGTAGAGGAAAACAATCCTTCCTGGCAGGGAAAGGGAATGAAGCAGCACAACAACACCTCTGTTAAGAAAGATGACTTCCAAAGGTGTCACAAGAAGAGCTGACTAGGACAGTAGTTCCAGGGAAGGAGGAAGGTAGAAAGGACAAAAGCTGACAAGAGTTCAGCAGGAGTAGATACAGTTGGACTGATGTTTTGTCAGAAAATTGTAAAAAGCTTCTTTCTCAATTCACAAGGGGATTTATCACTATAATTCCTCTGTTTTCAGCAGCTTTTCCCCTGTATGCAAACACCATGCTTGAAAGCACTTTGTTCCAAGTTATTCTCTGCTGGGAGGTAAGTGAACACCATCTATGCTGAGACAGGCAGTGACCGAGCCCCTGGAAAACAAACAGCCCTGTGGCATAGCCCATATCTTATTATATCCATTACTTATTAGCAGTGATTAAATTAATTGCTGTATCTGTAAGCACCTAAGAGAAGCTGAGAGCACCTGTGCTGAGAGGGTGGCTTGGTGGGAAAGGCCCAGGAAGGAGCAAACTACCCTGTGTCCCTGCTCCGAATGTGCCGTTACAGAAAGGCTTTGGCCAGGCTACATTCTGTTCCTACTTTGTGTTTCTCTGTTTCCCCACCCAACTTCACACAAATTCTTACAAAGGTTATGTACAGACTTGTACAAAATGGAGACTGACACTGGCTCTTGGAGGGTTTCCCAGAGCAAGTTTAACAGAGATTATATAATACATTACATCTGTGTTGGTTGGTTGGGGTTTTTTTATTTTTAATATAGATGTTATTACACTACCAGTTTGTCCTTCCTAGCTTAACCCTCCAACCACCCTTTCAAAAGAGTTCATTATGTTCTGCAGAGATTAAAAACCTGAGGTTATGATGTGAGTTTTGTTTCCAGCCCTCACTTAAGACAGGACAAGTGTGTTACAACTGGAGGGGCTCAGCAAGTCACAACCACCATTATTTTCCTTCCACACACACACTTTACTATCAAAGTCATGGGGGGGGGTGGTCCTTAACTGATGGAACAGTGGAATTTTAGAGCTAACACACAACTTTACTTCTATATCTTATTTTTAAATCAGAAGGCTGCACAGCTTGGGCTCAACTTCTGTGGCAGTGACCCTTCCTTCCAAGACAATCCATCAGGGTAAATCCAGCTTAAAATCATGGGGCACTTACTAAGGATATTAAGTATTCTCAAAAAAATCAGGCAAAGTCACATCCTAATAGAACTGACTGCAAGATATAAAGCCCACCTTTGTGCAAAGCTGTTTCTAAGATGCTCTTCCTGTTACTGCTGCTGTGGGTTTTCCTTCTTCTCCATCTCATTGTTTTTCTTGTGGAGTTTAGAAATTAACAATGAGCAGACACAGGAAAGGAGGAAATTTTTCACACATGCTTTCTACTAATTTCTTTTCCTCCCCACTTCTCAGATTTTTATTCCCCCAACTTTTCCTCTTCTTATTGAGAAAAGGGGCAGAATTCCCCTCCTCTCTCTTGATACTATTACTGGACCCTAAATTTCTGAAAAAAATCAAGAGGAAGATCTGTGTCTTACCTTTTTTTGGTTCTGAAGTAGTCTCTGCCACTTTCTATGCACCTCAGGTGTCTGCAAGAGTCAAGCTCCAGAAACACACCTGCTACTCCAGTGCTGATGGGGTTAATGAGATCAAAGCCAGACTCCACTTTGTGCTTAGCAGTGAGACACTTCCTACCACAGGCTAGGGTGACTGAAGCCCTCCTTCAGCTCACCTAAATCAGCATCAAAATACCACAAATCAGCCCCTACTCTGATTAGAATCAGTATTCCCACTTTCTGTCTCCTTCCAATTCCATCAACCCCCATGAATTTCCACAAAAATTAGTCAGTGACAAATTCCAGAGTAACTTTTCTAATTCACATGTTTATTTTCAAGCATTTTCTCCATCTATCCCCTCTCCCACCCTCCTTTCGATGTCCTTAATCAGTAAGGGCTTCATGTACTCCAAAGCCAGCTCTTACCTCCTCACCCAGCAGACAAAGTGATCCCAAAATTCAGCTCCCCAACAGCCAAGTAAGTAAAGAACAGCTCTCCCAACATCTTCTCTTAAAGTCTCCCCAGCCAGCCAGTGCAGGAAGGGGCCTAACAAAGCTGTATGCAGCCAATTGTGTTATCAGGGCACTTGGCACTACCAGCTGATCCTTGATTACTATTCATCCCTCGGGAAAATAAAACACCCCTTTGTAGTAAAAGTGTAACCGGTTACTATGAGGCATTACACATTAACAAAAGCAGCTTTTTACCAAAATCACAGATGATGAAAGCCTGGAAGTGGAATCAGACCAAGGTAACTGGTTGTTTCTGAATGTTTCAGATAGAAAGCTGACAGTTTAACCAAGATTTTCACAGTGCTAAGAAGAAAGTGGTGGGCGAGTTGTGTCACGTATTTGTACATAAAGTGGTAGTAAGTTCTGTAAAACAAATTTTAAGGATAAAACTGTAGCAACCTCTGTGGTGTAGGTTGCTACATATGCTACTGCCTGCACTGCAGCAACCTCAGTTTTCACAGGGTCTTGAATATTTTTAACAGCTCTTTTTATAATTTTTGTGCTTTTCTTGAAATCCACAAAGACACTTTTAGATTTTCCTTTTCTTTTTAATCTAAGAGTACAAATCATTAAACAGCACAGCTATCTGAAAGGCAGACTTTTCACTAGGCAGAAGGCTTGGTGGAATAATCCCTACTTAGGTGGTGAGGAAGCATTCCAGAATATTAAAGGATTTGTTTGTTTGCTAATCTACTTAAGCACCCATAGGCTTTAACACCCACAACTTGTGTGCTTTAGGGATCTCTCATGTCCATGGCCACTCTCACTGCCACAGCTCTGCATTAAAGCTGCACATTGAGACTGCAAGCTGCTGATGGGACAGCTGGAAAGAGCTGCATGGCTTTGGTCCACACACCCACAAATCCTGCCCAGCATTCCTGTATTTTAGGTGCAATAGCAATGCACAGGTCACTCTGCTTCTCATGTCCTGTGCTCCCACATCCCAGCCAACCAACTCTGGGACAGGACAGCAATCCAAGCACCACGAGCCCCCTCACAGGCCCTGCAAAGGAGGCTGTGTGAGCACTTTTCACACCCTCAGCTTGGGGAGAACTCGCTGACAGGGAAGCAGGGTAGCTTTAAAGGCATTAAGTAGAGCAGGCTTGGAGTAAGCAGCTGCCCCTGTGTGAAATCCGAAGCTCTTGCCAGCGGTGGGGAGGAAAGACATGACCTCATTATTCCACAGCCCAGATAATCCGTTCCTGGATAAAGTGAGAGCTGACAAGTGTTTCACCTTGAACGTTATCAAAGCCCTTTCCACACTTGGCTGATGGCAGAGCCATTTTACCAAACAGGGATGTGAATACTCCTCAGTGTTAGCAAAAGAGATTAAAAAAATCCCTGGGGTGCATGGCTAATGCCACACACACAGGTGTGAGAGGAAGAGACCAGCAGCATTTCCAGAACTATTTAGGCTAACAGGATATATTTGCACAAGTTGATAAAATATTTTTCTCAATATATTGGGGGTTGCTGCTCTCAATTTCTTCCATTTACCTCAAGGCACTTTCTCTAGGTAAGTGTTGAGGGGCTCTTCTGACATCAGCTGTCCCATCAGCACCTCCAGAAAGGTAGTTCACTTTTCAGCTGGGATAAATCACTGTCTGGACTATCTTCTAGTATCTTCCCAGTGGTTGCCAAGAGTGATTCCACTCCCCTAATCTTTTAGCCAGAGGAACCCAAGCTTTAATGTCATGGATTTTACATAGGCACATGCAGACAACACGCTAGTCTCCAATTTTGTTGGAAGGGTACCACAGAATCATTTAGGTTGGAAATGAACCATTAAGATCATCCAGTCCAACTGCTGGACCCACAATCAGTTTGAGCAATGGCTCAGCTCCACGCTAGTCCAAGGGGAAGGAATGTCATCTGGTTGCCATTGCCTTCTCTTGCAACACCTGTGCTCTCGCTGGAGTCCTGCCACGCAAACACAGAGAGGGGCTCTCCCCCCTCATCCCTCCTGTCCTTGGCAGGCCAGTTAACAGAGAAAACACACATCTCCTTTGCTGTCAGGGCTCTGGAGCTGTTGGATTTAAGTCTGCGTGGAAGAATGACGCCATTTAAAATGTTTAACACAGAACACATAAAGCCCTGGTGAAAATGCTCAGTGAAGTTTCCAGCAGAGGAGGTTAATAAATGAACAGGTAGCATTTGCAGAAGGAGCAGACACAAACCCCAAGATCAGGAGGAGGTTTCAGCTGAAATATTTGTCTTCCTGATGCTGGCCTGCCAAATGGGCAAAACACGCCCAGCCACAACAGCAATTCTGCCTCTTGCACCTACTACATTGGAAAAGCTCCTTACTGAACTGCACACATTAGTATCATCTGTGGTATTGTCTTCCATGTCAAGGGAAAAAAACCCATCAGCAAAATATTTTGGGGTTCCTAAGAGATAAAAATTACTGTAATTCACTACAACCATAGCAACAATATTAAATACAAATAAAAAGGGGTCCCTCCCAATGTAAAAATGATTTTCCAAATGTAACTCTGCCCCCACTGCAAACCACTTCCCATGCCCCAGACTGCATCAGCACAGGAGTAATCCCAAGGCTCAGGATGTGAATGGAAGCACAGTTGGTTTTATCCCAACTGGGGGATCACAGAAAGCAAGGCAAGTTCTTTGTGCCTGCTTTTTAGTAATTCTTTCAGGGCCTTTCACCAAGGTTATGACATCTTCTAGTGGGTGACTCTTCGAGGTCCAATTCCTCCCAAATTCTAGCACTACATACTAAGATACCACAATCCCTGGACACCAGCATTTCTAGTGCTGGCAGTTTTGTTTCATCCATACATCAGCTGTTTCCTCTGGCAGAACCAGAAACAACCAAACCCCTTTGGGGTCAGGCTCCTCACAGCCCTGACTGCAATAAGCTGAGACAGTTCTCCTGCCCACCAACCTGTCCACCACTGAACTTCATCTTCCTGGGCACTACAGGGTAAAACGTCACATTTGACTTCCACTTTTCGCCTCTCCACATCCCATCACCAGAATCAGACTCCTGCTTCACCAGGAAACATCACTTCCATGGATGCTCAGTTCCTGGAGCATTGCTTGGCATGTGTCCAGCTTCCAGAGGTGAGTCACCACACTTTGACATTCAAAATGAGTAAATAAGCTGAAAGGAACGAGCCAGGATACAGAATCCACAAAACTCAGCTTTAAGGACATAATATTTAAAAGGGTTGGCAAGTCTAAATTCAATGATTTTGAATAACCAGCTTTGAAATAAGTGATCTTTATTCTGTCTCTGATGTTTGCCCTTGCACCTGAGCTTGGTAAAACTTCTGTTCTGCTCTCATCTAAAGGCTGCAAGAAAATTATCCATAATAAACCTCATTCTTTCTTCTAGGATTAAGAATTGTATATCATGCTTGCAGTGAAAATCTGTTTTATGCATTAGGTAGAACACAGACTGAACTTTTTTTCAAGCGAAGTGAAGACAATTTTGCGTTTTTATCATAAATATTCTCCTGGTCATTTCTGGCCAAACTGTCAAAAGACATTTTATACCATTTTGCAAGAAGTTGCTATTGGAGGAAAAAAGGAGAAATGGTAGATTTTGTATTTAAACAAAGTGTGCCTGAAATGTTGAAAAGTTGATTTAACGTTAACAATTCTGCAACTCAAGCAGTGTTTGGGCCAAAAAGCAGCTCCAGAAGATAACAGCAGGCAGGAAAAAGACTGTGTTTCTAAAAAACTTAAAGAAGTAAGCCTAGGAATCTAAGCACTTAAAGAGAAGATGGGACAGAGATATTCTTCTCAGATGTCTTCTCTGTTGAAATTCACTGAGCCTCAATCCTTTTATTAAAATTAAATCTCATGGAAACACAACAAAACCCAGCAGAAGAGAGAGTGCCTCTATCTTTGAGCTGCTCTGCAGCACAGAGGTGTTCAGGCTTTTATGGGCTCACACTGCAGGAGATCTGAGAGGGTGCCAAGGCACAAGGTGTTCAGCAAAACACATTGTGAGGAGTCAGCTCTGAATCAAAACTTGCTCCTGTAAATGACAGGAGATGATCCTGGAGTGCTCTGTCCTACAGTGCCCTCATCAGTAAGTTCCAACAAGAGGCTCAGGGTGCAACATCTCTCAGCAGGCTGCATTATGAAAGGGCTACACTGCCCCTGTGTTTTGATCAAAACCAAATTTTTGGTCATTTTCCAGAATTCTGATACCCGGGTTTCAATTTGCTCATCCACAGTAGCAATAATCTTTCTTTAGGAAAGAGACAAGGAATCATCATACTGGCAAAATTTTCCAAACAGAAATTTCTGGTAGCAACAGACACCTCCTAGGGGCTTCACATATTTGTAATTGCTTATTTTTTATTTTTTTTAAAGAATATCTTACTTTTTAAAACTATCAAATTCCACAAACCCAAGGATAAAATGGGGAGCTTCTGACATTTAAAATCACTTCAGGCATATGGGTACGTATCCTGAGATTTGGTGCCCTGTGGATAAATGTACAGGTACAAGGATAAATGTTTGGAGGGATGAGATTTTCTCCAAGGCACAAACAGCAGACATGGGCCAGCATTCTCTCCTAGTGTCCTAAAATTTGATGTGCAGAATTTCCCTCTGATGGCAGCAGGGTTCCACAAAGGGACGGGGCAGCCAGCTCCCACCTGCCTCTCTTGTAGTTTCTCAGTTCACTTTCACTCCTTGGTGCATGTTCCCAATAAGCCTGAGCACTTCCCAAGGAATGACCATCTAGTTTTAACACTCATCTGGAGCAGCAGGTAGTGTTATTTTTAGGCTACAAAATCACAAACAGAATTCATTATTGGCAGTGAAAACTGCAGTCTCTCTTTCCTCCCTTCAGGAACAGACACTGGAGTAAAGTGCCAGGGGATAAAGGTATGGCATTTAATTTCTGGAAACTTCAGAAATTTAATGGTTATGATGAATGGTTCACATCCTGAGCTCTGAACTGGAGTATGTAGAATTTAGAAAAGAA